TCATCATTTGATGGCATATTTGGTTCATTTTCTCATTGCAAGAAGGGGTTGAATTTTTCCCAAAGCCTTGTCTTTCCAAGTCTTGTGTGTGTGCCATAGACCTACCAGATAACTAGGGCAAGATATTTTATAGTGCTCTCATCCAGCTGTCTTCCTACCATCAGAAGAAAGTTGAACTCCCTACCAGTCCATCTCCTCAAAGTTTTAATAGTGTTAAGTGGGGACTTACATGTGTATTGGCTTATTTATTTTGAAACATAGACCGTCAGAGTAGGACTTCAAGTATTGTTGGTTGAACTGACTTACCTTTCTAAATAAATAAAGGAAACAAAGTTTAGTAATAGCAGAGATTAAAAAATATTTGCATGGCCAAGTTTCCATCGTTTCTGAACAGTTAACCTCTTATTCACCATACATTTTAATGTAAATTATACTCAATATCTGATCTTTTTTTTTTTAAAGATTTTATTTATTTATTTGAGAGAGAGAATGAGATAGAGAGAGAGAGCATGAGAGGGGAGAGAGGCAGACTACCTGCTGAGCAGGGAGCCCGACGTGGGACTCGATCCCGGGACTCCAGGATCATGACCTGAGCCGAAGGCAGTCGCTTAACCAACTGAGCCACCCAGGCGCCCCTCAATATCTGATCTTAAATGTAGTCAATATCACATATATTTTACCCTTCAGCTAAGAAGGAACATATGTATGTTACTTGGGAAATTCCCAAATTGAGATTGTCACTCTTGTCTTATGTTTCAAGGTTTAAAAAAGTATAGCGGATCACTAAAATATGTACCCATTCATTTTAATATTTGTCAATTGAAATTTTTTGACAGCAATTTGTATTGCCTTTCTGTACTTTATCTTTTTAACTTTCCCATACATGGCAATTGCCACTTTTAACACTAAATAATATGCTTTTTTCCTAGCTAATTTTTTTAAAATTTTATTTATTTATTCATGACAGACAGAGAGAGAGAGGCAGAGGGAGAAGCAGGCTCCCCGCAGAGCAGGGAGCCCAATGTGGGACTCGATCCCGGGACCCTGGGATCATGACCTGAGCCGAAGGCAGACGCTTAACCATCTGAGCCACCCAGGCGCCCTTTCCTAGCTAATTTTTATACAAAGATGTGTACTATTTACTTGAGATGGGTATTTAGGATGCATTTCAAGTAAAATTTGTTTTTCATATATGTTTATTGGGCATATGGCATCTAGATATTTAGTGCATTCGTGTGCATTTATTTATGAAGGGTTTTTTGCATATGCTTAAAAGACTTGCATCTCACATTATATAAATATTACTCTATATTTTGCTTTAGCTTATTTATATTCCAACAATTTATTCTGGAATTTACTTTGTTATATGTTGGGGGGAATGACCCTAGCTAATTTTTTTCCAAATAGTTAATAAATTATCCCAGTACCAAAATAAATAAAAAACACCTATAGGGAAAAATGTTAAATCTAGAGGTTTCCACAATGGTAAATTCTTACAATACTTTTGATACCACGAACACTGAGCCTAAATACACCTACAATGAATGAATTAATAATCTGTTGAAAGGAGATACACCCCTTGGAGGACAGTACCTATTTAAATGCTTAAATGTGACAGAAGGAGCTTTTATTTTGGAAGATTCTTCGTACTAGAGCCCACTTCAGTCTTTTTGTTTATGCATTCATATCAAATATATATTAAGGGACACCACGTGCCAAGCACTGGGAAAGGCACCAGGGATGCACTGGCAAACAACGGGAGACACAGTCTTCCCTAAGGAAGTTCACAGTTTAGTGGGGAAGGAAGATACTCACCAATAATCACACAAATAAACATAACTGTGGAAATGCCTCATGTAGCAATAAACGTTCTTTTGGTAAGCATCTATTAAATATGCACTAACATACTAAGATATATTTTGGGGGATACTACAATGAGTGAACCATGGTTCCCTTCCTCAATTTGTAGTCTAATTGGAGCTCAGAAATACCAACAAATACAATACAGTGAAAAAGATGCTGCAGTAGAAGCGTATTCTAGATCTCACTGGCACAGAAAAGAGAATAATCTGCTCTATCTAGAAGTGGGAATGAGAAAGGAAGGCTGAATGAAGGAAATCTTTACATAAGAAAGGCAAGGCTAGAGTAGTGCTTACATAGTATTGGAAGCTGTAGCCAATGCAATAAAACAAGAAGAAATAAGAGGTATAAGATTTGGAAAAGAGATAAAGCTCTCCTTAGATGCAGTTGATAAACTTGTCTTCATAGAAAGCCCAAGGAACTCTAAAGATAAAAGCACGAAAAAAGGGGCGCCTGGGTGGCTCAGTCGTTAAGCGTCTGCCTTCGGCTCAGGTCATGATTCCAGGTCCTGGGATCGAGCCCCGCATCGGGCTCCCTGCTC